AAAAAAAAAAAAAAAAAAAAAATTAGCCAGGAGTGGTGATGCTTGCATGTGGTTCCAGCTATTTGGAAGGCTAAGGTGGAAGCATCTCCTGAGCCCAGTAGGTTTAGGTTGTGATAGCTGTGAGCATGCCACTGCACTCCAGCCGGGGCAGCAGTGAGAACCCAACTCAAAGACAAAACAAACAAAAAGGGCAAAGGATATGAACAAAAGATATTTCTTAAAAGATACACAAATGGCCAACAACCAAAATTTTTAAATGTTCAACATTAGCTAAAAGGGAACTGCAAATCAAAACCATAATGAAGCAGCACTTCACAAAGTAGGCTGGCTATAATAAAGACATAAGCTGGACACGATGGCTCACACCCATAATCCTAGCACTTTAGAAGGCCAAGGCAGGAGGATCACTTGAGCCCAGGAGTTGGATACCAGCCTGGGCACAGTCTCCACAAAAAATATATATTATTTTAAAAGAAGACAAATAAGAAATCTTGGTGAAAATGTTTACAAACAGGAACCCTCACAGATTACTGGTGGGAATGTCAAATGGTGAAGCCACTTTGGAAAAGTCTGGCAGTTCTCCAGTTAAAACATAGTTACCATATGACCCAGCAATTCTCCTCAGTGTAGATACAAGAGAAACTGAAAACATGCCCACACAAAAACCTGCATGTGAAATGTGCATAGCAGGCCGGGCTCGGTGGCTCAGCCTGTAATCCCAGCACTTTGGGAGGCCAAGGTGAGTGGATTGCCTGAGCCCATGGGTTTGAGACCCGCCTGGGCAACTTGGCGAGACCTCATCTCTACAATAAATCAAAAAATAAGCCGGGCGTGGTAGTGCGCGCCTGTAGTTCCAGTTACTTGGAAGGCTGAAGCGGAAGGATTGCTGGAGCCCAGCAGGTCGAGGCTGCGGTGGCCGGGAGCGGCCACTGCACTCCAGTCTGGGCGACAGAGTGAGACTCCAACTCAAAAAAAAAAAAAAAATGTTCATAGCAGGATTAATCATAATAGCCAAAAAGCAGAATTAATCCAAATGTCTCCAACAACTGATAGATACATAAAATGTGGTATAGCCATACAATATTACTCAACACAAAAATAAAGTACTGATATGTGCTGTGATACAATGAATCCGAAAAAACATACACTAAGTAAAAAAAGTCAGTGACAAAGGACCATACAATAAATGACTCTACAGACAAATCTAGAGAGACAAAAAAATAGATCGTTGGTCATCAAGGTCAGGAGGAATGGAGGGATTAAAGGATGATAGATAACAGGTACCAGGTTTCTTTTGGGGGCCATGGAAAGGTTCTAAAATTGATTGTGGTGGTGACTGCACAACTGTATAACTGTACTAAAAAGCTATTAAAGTGTATACTTTAAATGGGTTAACTGGGCCAGGCTCGGTGGCTCAGCCTGTAATCCCAGCACTTTGGGAGGCCGAGGTGAGTAGATTGCCTGAGCCTACAGGTTCGAGACCAGCCTGGGCAACTTGGCGAGACCTCGTCTCTACAATAAAATAAAAAGTTAGCTGAGTGTGGCAGCACGTTTGTAGTTCCAGCTACTTGGAAGGCTGAGGCGGGAAGGATCGCCGGAGCCCAGTAGGTCGATGCTGGGGTGGCGGTGAGTATGCCACTGCACTCCAGCCTGGGCGACAGAGTGAGACTCCAACTCAAAAAAAAAAAAAAAAAGAGCCAGGCTCCGTGGCTCAGCCTGTAATCCAGCGCCTTTGGGAGGCTGACGTGAATGGTTCGAGACCCGCCTGGGCAACTTGGCGAGACCTCATCTCTACAATAAATCAAAAATGAGCTGGGCGTGGTAGCGCGCCCCTGTAGTTCTGGCTACTTGGAAGGCTGAGGCGGAAGGATCGCCGGAGCCCAGCAGGTCGAGGCTGCAGTGGCCGGGAGCGGCCACTGTACTCCAGTCTGGGTGACAGAGTGAGACTCCAACTCAAAAAAAAAAAAAAAAAAAAGGCAGCGGATTAACTGTATGATACGGAATTTCTCTCTCAAACTGCTTTAAAAAAATGTAGCAATAAACTATTATCTACTTGCAGAGCAATCAAAATTCAGTACAGATCGTGGGTTGCCACTCTTTAGTTAAGATACAGGTTCTCTTCCCTCTATTTCCATCAAGCCAGGACCAATCCGGCAGCATCAGGAAAAGACCAAAGGCAGAGTCAATGACACTAGTTGGAGGGTGGGGGACAATGGCTGAAGCAAAGAGTAAGCAGCAGCTCTGATAATAAGGAAAAAGACAGAGGACCTGGAGGGATTAACTGTACCTTTCTTCTCATTAATTCAAAACAGTTTTTGAACTCATCAATTTGGATGCTTTTTAGTGCATCTACTGTTTTTTGTTTTACCTAGTCTACACTGGCAAAATGTTTCCCTTTGAGGACATTTAATGTAGGGCAACAAAAAAAAAGTCACTTGAGACAAGAGCAGGTAAATAAGGAGGGTGGAGCATGGGGGTTATGCAGTTTTTAGTCAAAAACTGGGGCACACTCAGTGCGGTGTGGGCAGTGAACTCATAAATCACCCATCATGAAATGGGCAAACATGTTGAAAAGACTCTCCAAAAAAAAAAAAAAAATCACTGAAGCCAAATGCATCCTCTCACATCACTAGCTGATGCACTGATGCCAGTGGATTCCTCAAACACTTACCTAGCAGGTGAAGTCTGTACTACAAGGGGCCCACCCTCCAAAAAATAATTTTGGGTTTTTTTGGGTCTTCCCTCATACACACAATATAGGAAAAATGGCTACCAGAAAGCACATGAAGGGACAGAGAACAGAGGTTCTTTTACTGCCCATTTATCAACATGAAGGTAAAAAACTGGAGAAGGGCTGGGTGCGATGGCTCACGTCTATATAATCCCAGCACTGTGGGAGACTGAGGTCAGAGGATTGCCTGAGCCCGGAGGTTCGAGACTAACCTGGACAACTTGGCAAGACCTCATCTCTACAATAAGTCAAATATTACCCACACGCGTCTATGGTTCCAGCTACTTGGAAGGCAAGGCAGAAGGATCGCCTGAGCCCAGCAGGTCAAGGTTGCGGTGGCCATGAGCATGCCACTGCACTCCAACCTGGGTGACAGAGTGAGACTCTGACTTAAAAAAAAAAAAAAAATGACTGTCAGAGACTCGTGATTTTTAGAGGTATTCCCTAGCATCATCTACCCCTCAGAAGTTAAAATACTTGATGTTGACAGTTTTAGCAACTGAGAAGTTGTCCTCTGAGGACCGCCTCTTGTGTTAAAAGGAGAAAGCAATGGAGTCAGCATATATATGTGTTCCCAAAAATTGTGTGACCTTGGCCAGGCTTGGTGACTCAGCCTGTAATCCCAGAACTTTGGGAGGCTGAGGTGAGTGGGCTACCAGAGCCCACAGGTTCAAGACCAGCCCAGGCTACTTGGCGAGATCTTGTCTCTATAAGAAGTAAAAAATTAGCCAGGTTCAGTGGCTCAGCCTGTAATCCCACGCCTTGGGAGGCCAAGGTGAGTGGATTGCCTGAGCCTGCGGGTTCGAGACCCGCCTGGGCAGTGAGACCTCATCTCTACAATAAATCAAAAAATCACCCGGGTGTGGTAGCGCATGCATGTAGTTCCGGCTACTTGGAAGGCTGAGGCGGAAGGATCGCCGGAGCCCAGCAGGTCGAGGCTGCAGTGGCCGCTCCCGGTCACCGGGCAACAGAGTTGAGACTCCAACTCAAAAAAAAAGAAAAACAGTACAAAATTAGCCAGGCATGGTAGCGTGTGCATGTAGTTCCGGCTACTTGGAAGGTTGAGGTAGAAGGATTGCCAGAGCCCAGGAGGCCAATGCTGGGGTGGCCGTGAGCATGCCATTGCACTCCATCCTAGGAGACATAGTGAAACGCCAACTCAAAAGAAAAAAAAAAAGTGTGATCTTTAGAACATCATTTAGTGGGCTAGTTTCCCCAAGTATAAAATGAGGCAATTACATGCAAACACACCAATAGTCAAGAACTAGAAACCCTTGGTAACAAAAAAAGTATTGAACAATCAGTGATTAATACTTGTAAAAGCAAGTTTGGTCTTCAATGATCCCACTGAGAAAGGCAAACACTGATTATTCACATTTTATAAATAATGGTACAAACCCAAGGAAAAGAAGGGACTTGTCCAAATGTCAAAGTACTTGGTCCATAATACTAGGCTTTGTAATTTGCCAAGTTAAAAGTGACATTACTTCCATTCCATCCACTCTACCAGCACTCCAAAGAAACTCAACTTCCCATACCCTCTCCTTTGATGAAGTAAAACTTACCAGATAGAAAGGGGAACGAGGTGGTGGGGGGGGCTGGCGTCGAGGCCGGGGGCCACTGAACGAGGTAGCAGTGGAGGGAGGGCTGGGGGGACCAGAGCGCAATGTCAGTGTCTCAGGCTCATCCTTGGAAACAGGCAGCCGGGATACCATGGTGACAGGCAAGGAAGTGGCGCCAGATGCCGAAACCACAAGGGAAGATGCCTGGGAAGCTGGGGACTGTGTCGAAGCTGGGGCCAGCGCCAAGGTCTGAGCTGTAGCCGGGCCCAAGGTAGGCACCGGAACAGGGGCAGGGCTCAAGGTCAGTGTCTGCACCGAAGCTGGTGCCAGGAGTGAAGCAGATGATGACACTGGAGCCAAAGTCAGCGTGTGAGCTGGGGATGGGCCCATTGGAGAAGCTGGAGCCAGAGACAGCGTCTGAGTTGGAACCAGCGGTGGTCCTGGTGCCAAAGACAGTGTCTGGGATGGAGTTGGTACCAGGGAGGATGCTGGAGTCAATGACAATGTCTGAGTTGGAAAGGGTCCCTGGGGGCTCCCTGTTCCCAAAGACAGTGTCTGAGATGGAGATGAGCCGCCAAGAGGGGGTGCTAAAGCTGGGGCTAGGGTCAGTGTCTGTGTAGAAGCTGGGCTCGGGAGAGGTGACGGAACTGGAGCTGGTACCATAGTTTGAGTTGATGATGGAGCCAACACAGGAGTTGGAGCTGCCACCAGTGAAGAAGCTGAGGCTAAAGGAGTTCCTGGAGTAGATGATGAAGCCATAACTGGAACTGGAGTCTGCGATGGAGCCATGACAGGAGCAGGACCTGGCGATGGTGCCAGGACTGGAAGAGGAGCCAGAGAAGGAGCTGGAGAAGGAGCCAGAATTGCTGTCTGTGGAGCCACCATAGGAGCCAGAGAGGTGGCTAGAGCCTGAGATGCAGAAGGTGCTGGAGCCAGAAGGGAAGCCTGAGGTGGAGCTGGATTTGGCACTGCCGGAAATGGATTGGCCAAAGCTGAAGCTGGTACCAGGACAGGTGAGCATGCTGGGGCTACAGATGAATTCAACCCTGGAACATGTGAAGAGGTGGGAGCCAACAACAGAGGGTGACTGGGTGTCTGAGATGAGGACAGGGATGGAGCCGTGGCCAAACCTAAAGTCAAGGCTGATGCTGATGAGGAAGCCACAGCTGGTGCCAAAGCAGGAGGTCCAGGAGCTGCTGAGACAACGGGTGCCAGTGGTGGAGTCACACTGGTCAACAGAGTTGGGCCTGAAGCCGAAACAGGCAAGGAGGCCGAGATGGGGATGGTGACTGGAACTGAAGCTGGGACAGGAAGTGTAGTGGGGACAGAGATGGGGAGTGATGACGACACTGGAACTGATACTGTAGAAGACACAGAACTACCAAGGGGAGAGGAGTTGGGAATTGGCATTGGAGAAGAGGCTGGCCCAGGGAGTGAGGATGGCACATGGAGAGGAGAAGAGATGGTCAAGGGAGCAGCTCCAGGTGTTGAAGCTGTGGAGAGAGAGAATGAGTTAGCCCCAGAATTGTTTTTCTGCTCCTTCTACTACTACTACTACGACTATGTCCCACTAGTTCCCTTACCCCTAAGCTTTACCCAGAAAGCATTCAACATGAGATAGAAAACCCAAGGAATCTGACAACTTGACATTTTCTTTCCCTCCAGAATCTTTTTTTTTTTCCTTGAGTTGGAGTCTCACTCCGTCACCCAGCCTGGAGTGCCGTGGCACACTCACGGCCATCCCAGCATCAACCTGCTGGGCTCCAGTGATCCTTCTACCTTAGCCTTCCAAATAGCTGGAACTACAGGTGTGCGCTACCAAGCTCGGCTAATTTTTGATTTATTGTAGAGACGAGGTCTTGCCAAGTTGCCCGGGCTGGTCTTGAACCTGCGGGCTTAAGCAATCCACTCGCCTCGGCCTCCCAAGGATTAAAGGCTGAGCCACCGAGCCTGGCCCCCTCCAGGATTCTAATAAATATATCTTGGAATCAGGTCAGGGCTTGGGCAATCCAGTTCCAGGGCCCACTGCAATTCAAGGAAGTATGCTGACAATGAAGGGATATGTGATTAAGAAACTTTCAGGCCACCCCATTTCATCTCCAATCCTGGCAAAAATTTTTGGCCCTCAGCCACCTGGACTCACCACTGACTTCAGGTGAAGGACTGTGGACCAGCTTGAGAAGAGGCCTCACTAGAGTGGAGGAAGGTATGGAGGCACGGGCAGTACCCAGAGTAGGTGTGGGTAGTCGGCCAGGAGTTAACGTGGGGCGTGGAGTCAACACAGCTGGAAGCCCAGAGCTTGGAGGCCGGGGTGCTGGGGCCAATGGAGGAACAGGAGTCAGTCCATCCCGAGGGGCTTGTCTCACTACAATCTTCACCACGCCTGTATTATTCACCATGGTTGGTGGCACTGCAAGAGGAAGCTACATTGAGAAGAAGGTAGAAAAAGACAAGAGACCCAAAGGATGGAAGAAGTTCAGGGGCAGGAGATAGCAGACAGATATTGGAGATATTGGCAAGGGAAAACAACACTTAAGGCTGGACAGACAGTAGCCCAAGGCATGCCTGGAAGGACCAAGGCCAACAAGGGCTATGTAAGTAGGAAGGCCAGGAGCCTCACCCTGGTTAGCAGCAAGCGGAAGGTTGAGGCCAGTGGGGGCAGGGGTGGTGCTGGGGGTCGAAGAAGGCAGCACAGAGACAGGGGTAGGGCCAGGGGTCGGGGCCACGGCCTGGATGAGGGCCACATGGGCAGGCTGGCTGATGAGGTGGTGCTGCCCCCCTGCGGACACGAGGTGCACTACATTCCCTGGGTTAAGGGAAGAGAGAAAGAGAGAGAGAAGCAGCTATCAGCCGGAGGAGGGCAGAGGCAAGGCAAGAGGAAAGGAAAAGAACAGAAAGGGAATAACTTCTCTAGAATGACCTCTTTCCTACTGTTATCAAAAGAACCTTTCAACCATTCCCTTTGGCCCCACCCACCAAAAGCTAGTGAAAGAAACATAAAGGCTGACATCTAAAATGAGCCACAAAAACAAAGAGACAAGGAAGAGGAGGAAAAAGGCAGGACAGGGGGTGGGTTTTACCTACTTTGCAGCGGGCGGGGCTGCCCCACAGCAAGCTGGCGCACCTGGGCACCAGTCAAAGTCAGCTTGTTGCCCTGGATTTGGAAGGTGAGAGGTTTGCTTCCCCCTGCATTAGCCACTGGACGTTGTGCCAGTGAGGCTAACTGCCCGATGCTGACCACTTCACCTGCTACAAACAGAGAAGGCCTTATTGTACACAGAGCTCACCTTGTTCAATGCCACTTCAGAGCCCATAAAGCACATGTCTCTTCCCCAAAGTGTCCAGTTCCTTCAAGGCTTTCCCCACAATTTACCATGTTCCAACAAATTCAGCCTCCATCTACATACAGCCTTTGGGCTCTTGTGTGTTATTCCTGCTAATCTCACTTGCTTGCTTAGCAATCTTTTTTTTTTTAAAGTCAGTCTCACTCTGTCATCCAGGCTGGAGTGCAGTGGCAAGCTCACCGTCACTGCAGCCTCAACCTGCTGGGCTCAAGTGATTCTTCCGCCTCAGCCTTCCAAGTAACTGTAACTATAGGCATGCACTACCACACCCGGCTTACTTTTTTCATTTATTGTAGAGACGAGGTCTCACCAAGTTGCCCACACTGGTCTTGAAACCCTGAGTTCAGGCAAACCTCTCACCTTGCCCTCCCAAAGTGCTAGGATTACAGGTTAGCTGTGTAAAATTTTATATTCTCATGTTCCTGAGCTTTTGTTTCCCTCCAGTTCCCTGGCATATAAACCTTCCTCCCATCTCAGGTTCCTCACCAGAGAGTCTAGGAACTTACAGGGCAGGCGAGCCTGCATATCGGGAGACAGAATGAGGCGCTGTGGTGCAGGAGTTGGAGCTGGCACCGCCGTGGTGGTAGCAGTTGCTGTGGTGGTAGAAGTGGTGGCAGCAGCAGGAGGAAAGGTGTAGCCTGGTGGCACTGTCAGGGGCTTCAATAGGTTAGAAGAGCCTGGAGGTGGGGCTGGGCTTAGGCGAACTGGAGCAGGTGGTGTTGGCTTCAGAGATAGAGTTGGCGTGGGAGGCCGGGAGGTCCCACTTAAGACCCCCAGAGACGATGGTAATACTGCAGACACAAAGCAAATACCTGTCAGATACACTATGACTAAAGCCTTAGCCTGGTCCCATAAGCCTCCACACTCCCAGCTCATCAAACACCACACCTTTGTCCCCGACCCAGCTTTGCAAACTCTAATTTCACTACTACTTCTCCGAACCACCTTTCTGAAGCATCACCCATCATCCTTGGCACCATTCAACTCACCCTGGGGGAGAGGACCACTGTTTGACTGCAGTGGTGGCAAGAGAACAGGGCCCGGAGGCCGGGATGCAGGAATAAGTGGGGGACCAGCAGGCGAGGCTGACACCATCAGTGGTGCTGGCAGCACTGGGGGACTTGGACCAGGGATAGGCTGGGCTGAGAGCTCAGGGCCTGGAGTGGGTCGGAGTGGGATAGGGCCCAGAGGTGTCCGTGGGCTGTTCACCACCACCACTGTCCGGCCTTCTTGCTTGGGTACTGGCTGCAGCATCCTATAAGGAAAAAATCAAAGGGGTGGGCAGAAAGAAAAAGAGAGTAAAGAGTAGAAAAGGAAGGAAGGAGACAGTGAAGCAGAATGACAAAGATCATAAAAACCAGAAGAGAAAGGAAAGAGACCCAAAGAAAAAAGAGGAAAAGAAATTTGAGATAACCAGAAAGTACCCAAGAGAGAGAAAGAGAAAAAAAGATCAGTGACAAACACAGAAGCCCATCTCAATACCTTCTTCTAGTTATCCTCTCTCTCAATCTCGCTACAGTATTTACACCCATCCCATATAAACACAGGAGACTAACCTCCAACTCTTTCCACCCCAATCCCCTCCAGCCAGCTACAAGCACTTTTTCTAGAAACACATCCCCGATTTCTCAGTCCTTGTACCTGTTGACCTTCATCTTGACTGGCTTAGGCCGGGGTGGAGGGTCAGGAGCAGTAGCCACCTCTAGCAGTACCCGGCGGGAGAGGCGGTGCCGGGGCAAAAATGTGTCCGCCTCATATCGAGAGACACGACCCTCCAGACCAATGAGGTCAAACCGACCCATGTCTACCCGCTGCCACAAGAAAAAACACAAAGCATGATGTCAAAGTTAGCAACTTTACAATAATTGCACACTAATGTTCACGGCAGCATTGTTCACAATAACCAAAAGGTGGAAACAACCTATGCATCCACTGACAGATGAACAGATAATAAAATGTAGTGCAGACGCTCCTCAACTTACAAAGTTATATCCCAATAACTCATCATAAGTGGAAAATGCATTTAATGCCCCAATAAGCCTGCTATAAAGTTTAAAAAAATCATAATTTGAACCATAAACTCCGATGCTCCTCAATTTATGATGGGATTACATCCTGATAAACTCACAGTAAAGTTCAAAGACATTAAGTTGAACCACTGTAAGCCTGAGACCCCTGTATACATTACATATATAATGGAATATTATTCAGTCTCCAAAAGTAAGGAAATTCTGATGCTTGCTACAATATAGATGAACCTTGAAGATACAGCAGGAAATGTCAGGCATCTTTCTGATTGACTGGAGGCACTCAGGCCAGTTCTGCCATTGTCCATTAAAAATGCCTTTGGGAGTGAGTGGGAGGCACCAGGCATCTCCCCTTGAGTCAGGCTTGTACTTTCCCACTACCATTCACCCTCTGTTTTATCTTTCTGAAGAATGAGACTCACTTTGGGAAGATGAAAAAGTTCTGGAGACAGACTGGGGTAATAGTTCTACAACAACGTAAATGTACTCAATGGCACTGAACTATACACTTAAAAATGGTTAAAACAGTTGGGCTCAGTGGCTCAGTCTGTAATCCTGCACTTTGGGAGGCCGAGGTGAGTGAACTGCCTGAGTCCGCGAGTTCGAGACCCGCCTGGGCAACTTGGCAAGACCTCATCTCTACAATAAATCAAAAAAATTAGCCGGGCGTGGTAGCGCGTGCCTGTAGCTCCAGCTACTTAGAAGGCTGAGGCGGAAGGATCACCAGAGCCCAGCAGGTCGAGGCTGTGGTGGCCGGGAGCATGCAACTGCCCTCCAGTCTGGGCGACAGAGTGAGACTCCAACTCAAAAAAAAAAAAAGGTTAAAACAAGGCAGGCACAGTGGCTCACGCCTATAATCCCAGCACTCTGAGAGGATGAAGTGAATTGCCTGAGCCTGTGGGGCAGAGCCCAGAAGATGGAGGTTGCAGAGGCTATGAGCATGCTACTGCACTCCAGCCTGTGCAACAAAAAGAGACTCTGACTCAAAAAAAAAAAACTGGTTAAAACAGGGCATGGACCCCCTCGGGTCCCCTCCCACTGTGAGAGCTTTTCTGCCTTCTCAATAAATCCTTTTTTTTTTTAAATCGGAGTCTCATTCTGTTGCCCAGGCTGGAGTGCAGCGGCAGGCTCACGGCCACCACAGACTTGATCTGCTGGGTTCAGGCTGTCCTTCTGCCTCACCTTCCCAGTAACTGGAACTACAGGCACACACCACCACGCCCGGCTAATTTTTTGATTTATTGTACAGACGAGGTCTCACCATGTTGCCCAGGCTGGTCTCAAATCCCTGGACTAGGCAATCCTCTCGCCTTTGCCTCCCAAAGTGCTCGGATTACAGGCATGAGCCACCATGCCCAGCCAAATCCTACTTAAAAAAAAAATTAAAACAGTTTTGTTACAATTAAAAACTAGGTGGGGGAGGGAACTGGTCAAAACAGGAGTAGCCAGTCACACCTGTAATCCCAGCACTTTGGGAGGTCAAGGTGAGAGGACTGCCTGAGTCCAGGAGATAGACCAGCCTGGGCAACATGGCAAGAACTCGTCTCTACAATAAATCAAAATATTAACCAAACATGGTGGTACGTATCTATAGTCCCAGCTACTCGGGAGGTTGAGGAGAAGGATCACCTAAGTCCAGGAGGTCAAGACTGTGGTTGTGCCACTGCACTCCAGTCTGGGTGACAGAGTGAGACTCTCACTCAAAAAAGAAAAAAAAAGAGGGGTAGGAAAACAAAGCAATATTTACAAAGTATCTATACATATGCCAGGTATAGGTATCAAGCACATACAATAATATTAATTCTCAAACATACTGAGAACAGGCTCTGTAATTCCTGTTTTGAAGGGAAAGGAAACCTAGAGTCAAAGCTTAATAATCAACTTGCCAGCCGGACTTGGTGGCTCAGCCTGTAATCCCATGCTTTGGGAGGCTGAGGTGAGTGGATTGCCTGAGCCCACAGGTTCGAGACCCGCCTGGGTAACTTGGCGAGACCTCATCTCTACAATAAATCAAAAAATCAGCCAGGTGTAGTAGCGCACGCCTGTAGTTCCAGTTACTTGGAAGGCTGAGGCAGAAGGATTGCCGGAGCCCAGCAGGTCGAGGCTGTGGTGGCTGGGAGCGGCCACTGCTCTCCAGTCTGGGTGACAGAGTGAGACTCTAACTCCAAAAAAAAAAAAAAAAAAAAATGTATTAACTTGCCAAAAGTCACATGGTTAGAAAACCATGAAACTTAAGGGAATAGCATTAAAGGGCTGAAACAGAGGAATAGTACTGAAGGAAGTACTAAGGATGCAAAAGATCAGACTAGCCTAAAGAGAAGAGGTACAGGATTGAAAGTAAGAGTCAATAACCTTGGCGGCAACTACTTACCTGAAGGGGATGGACATCCGTGGCCCTTAGCACCAAAGAGGCGGTGCTGAAGCAGATGCCTGGGGTGATGAAGGGGGAGGTAACAGGTCGAGGATCAAACAGATTTGGATGATTGCAAACTTTTCGCAGCTGCATCAAAATATTGATGACACTCATAAAATGGCCCGTGGCTAGTGTCTCCTTAGTTCTGGGGAAAGAGAAAAAAATAAATGGGACATCCTGACAGTCATCTGCACTCTAGAGTCCCAGGACCCACCCTCGGTCCTTCCTTACGTGGTCTGTGCCATGAAGTCATCATAGAGACAGCGTTGACGCTTGGAGAGCCGGCAGCGGATAACATGCTCATACTTTTTGGGCATCTGCTTCTCAACATCCACCTTAACTCGGCGCAGTAAAAAAGGCCGCAAAACCTAAAAGCAAATAAGCAGAATGCTGACAGAAGAACACAGACACTGAACCCTAGCCTAGCCCCTCTAGCTGAGTCTTGACCTGATGACCAGTTGAGAGAGCTGGCTTAGCCCATCAAAAGATACTCATGAAGCCATGTAACATACCATGCCAGATACCAACTCCCCCCCTCAAATCCCCCCATACAAATGAATCAACTGCAAATCCTTTTCTCAAGGAATTTACAGACAGCTGAAAGAGACAGATGCAAAAATAATGATACCACAACGTATGAAGTGATATAACAAAGCATCAAGGGCAGACCAACGAGACAAGATAGATGACTCAAACTATACTTCAAGGAGTGATTGAATGTGTACAAGATTTAAAAAAATCCGCCGGGTGCAGTGGCTCACACCTGTAATCCCAGCACTCTGCGAGGCAGAGGCAAGAGGACTGTCTGAGCTCAGGAGTTCGAGACCAACCTGAGCAACATAGCAAGACCTACAATAAATCAAAAAATTAGCTGGGCATGGTGGTGTACACCTGTAGTTCCAGCTACTTGGAAGGCTGAGGCGGAAGGATCGCCTGAGCCCAACAGGTAGAGGCTGCAGTAGCCGTGAGCGCACAATTGCACTCCAGCCTGGGCAACAGAATGAGAATGACTCAAAAAAAAAAAAAAAAAAGGGACAAAAACACGTAGAATGATGCCTAAATTAGGTCACTCACTGGGCAATGGGTTACTCACTAGAACACTGCACCTTGACAAATGGGTGAATTGAACCTAGCACTCAATTCTGGATATTGCCCTTAGTTTCTTGCCATTTCCAACACCCCTGACAAACAAACTATTACAGACTCTACCTTGTGGAGGCGTTTGACTAGACCTTCATTATACTCTTGGCTGCCCTCAATCATGCCAGTTAGAGGGTTAGAGAACCACTCCTTGAACTCGCGATGAGACTGGAAGACATGGGGCATCAAAAAGTGCATCAAGGACCACAGCTCCATGAGGCTATTCTGCAAGGGAGTTCCTGTCAGGAGCAGGCGCCTCTGGCTGCAAATAGACAGAGGGAATCAGAGGGGGGATGGTCAAAAGGTCCCAAGCTTCTGAACATTCTAATATACTCAACCCGGGCAACCCACCATTTGGGTCAATGGGCCAACTATCCCACAAATCTCTATCTTCATCTATACCTGTTGAAGTTGAGCAGTGACTGCCAACGCTGTGACTTGAAGTTCTTGATGTTCTGAGCCTCATCCAGAATGAGATAGCGCCAGTTCTTGCGGCGGAAGGCCTGGTGGTCCTGCAGCACAAGCTTGTAAGACGTGATACACACATGGAAGGCATTGGGCTTAGTCCAGCCCTAGGGGATCAAAGAGAGAAGGGAGTAAATAGTGGAATAAGAAAAGAAAGCAAAGAGAAGACATGCTAGGATCCTCAAGGGACAAAAATCAGGTTGGAAGAAAATAGAAATGAAGCAGAACAATGGAGTAACAGAAAGAGGAGGGAAAAGAACACATCTGAGAGGAGGGCTTAAAAATAAAGAAGGTATCAATGTGGGGAAAGTGACCATATGGAAGATCAAACCTGCCGCTTGAGCTTCCTCTCTTTCTGGGCTCCATAGTAAGTGAGGATTTTAAAGCTTGGGCACCAACGTTTCAACTCCATCTCCCAGTTCAACATCACGCTGGTGGGAACAATGATTAAATGGGGACCCCAGTTACCTGTTCAGGTAAAAAGATGAGAGACAGTAAGGAAATGTAAATTTTGTGAGTCTGATTCTCAGGTATAACCCTGACTACCCTCTGTCCTTCTAATGATACTTCCTAAGAATCTTAGCACCTATGATGTATTGTCTATATAGTTACTAACCAGAGTCAATGACGCTACTAAGGCAGCACCAGGAGAGCAAGTATTCCATCTTCCTGCAGACAGAGTCACCATTAAACAAGTTCCCCAAAAAGTTGGCCAAGAGAAAGAATTCTGCCTAGTTACCTTTCTCACAAGCCAAGTGGGCAAGCAGGGAGATGGTCTGGATGGTCTTGCCAAGCCCCATCTCATCAGCAAGAATGCCATTAAGCTTCTTCTCATACATAGTAACTAGCCAGTCCAACCCAATGTGTTGGTACTCCCGGAGCTGGCCCCGCAGAAGCAAGGGGATGGGTGTCTTCACCTAGCAGGGAGGAGAAAAAGGTATCATAGCAGAACTAAGGCATATGTCACCTGGAAACAGGAAAGTCAAGATATGAGAATGGAGCAGAGTATGGGGTCTGGGGATACCTGGGTAGTGGCCAAAGTGTAACCCTTGGGCTGGAGACTTTCAGCTGCTGCAGCAATGTCAGTAATTTCTTTCTTAGGGCCTAAAGTAGTGGTAGGTCCTGGCGTGGGAGGCCCACTGCCACCATCTGCCTCACTCTGTTCTTCATCCCGAGCTAGTAAGTACTCCACTCCAAAATCATCATCTTCCTCCTCCTCCTCTTCTGCTTGGCTTTGAGATCGGGCATCCTCAGACTCATCAGACTCAGATTCCTCTGAAGTTGAACTGCCACCACTTGTTTCTTCCTCCTCTGAATGTTCATCTTCCACTTCCTCACTCTGGTCCTCAGCAGAGTCTGAAGTACAAGACCAAGGATTAGTGCTCACTATACCTGTTCCTCTAATGTCTGCCCATCCCAAATCCTGCCTCATGACCACACAATTCACCTGACTGACTGCTACTATCCTCTTGAGGAGCCTCTTCAGCTTCTATGTCCCCCTCTGGTTCACAGTCAGAGCTGTTAGCATCAACATCCTCATCTTCCTCTTCCTCTTCCTCTTCACTGCTCCCAGAGCCTGGGCCAGAGGCATCAGACGCATAGGCTCCTGCATACTGTTGTAATAGCTCCTCCATAGATAGTTCACCTGAAAGAGAAATAAAAGGTAAGCTTTTGGTTGCTTTGAGGTGAGGGGAGGAGATTTGAGTGGGACCAGTTTATTTTGCCTAGGTGTCTCTAGACACTGCTAGACTCAGCTCTGAGGGGAGGCAAAAGAGGTTACTTTTAGCACCAGCTACCAAAGCTAATCCCTAAAACCTGGGTTAGAATCATGGAAAGTGGCTGGGCTCGGTGGCTCAGCAGGTAACCCAAGCACTTTGGGAGGCCAAGGCGCGTGGACTGCCTGAGCCTGCGGGTTCAAGATCAGCTCAGGAAACTTGGCAAGACCTCAACTCTACAATAAATAAAAGCCAGATGTGGTGGCTCATGCCTGTAACCCCAGCATTTTGGGAGGCGGAGGCAAGAGGACTGCCTCAGCCCAGGGGTTCCAGATCAGCCTAGGTAACTTGGCGAGATCTTCTCTACAATAAATCAAAAAATTAGCGAGGTGTGATGGTACACACTTGCAGTTCCAACTACTTGGAAGGCTGAGGCAGAAGGATCGCCTGAGCCCAGCAGGTTGAGGCTGCAGTGATGGTGAGCTTACCACTGCACTCCAGCCTGGGCGACAGAGTGACACATCAACTTAAAAAAAAATAAGTAAATAAATATCCCACATCACCTTGTTTAAATTTCCTTCACAGCACTCACCACTTTCTCCTTATTAATTATTCATTTATAAGTCTGTCATCGTCATTAGGTCTGAAATTCCTCCAGGGTGGACAAAAAAGTGTCCTACTGGCCAGGCACAGTGTTTGACACCTGAAATCCCAGCACTTTGGGAGTCCAAGAAGGGAGGACTGCTTGAGCCCAGTTCAAGATCAATCTAGGCAATGTAGTAAGAACTTGTCTCTACATAACAATTTTTTTTTTTTGAGTTGGAGTCTCACTATCACCCAGATTGGAGTGCAGGGGCATGCTATTGGCCACCACAGCCTCAACCTACTGGGCTCCATTAATCCTTCTGCTTCAGCCTTCTAAGTAGCTGAACCACAGAAGTGCGCTATCACACTCGGCTAATTTTTTTGATTTATTGTAAAGACGAGATCTCCCCAAGTTGCCCAGGTGGGTCTCGATTCCGCGGGCTCAGGCAATCCACTCGCCTTCGCCTCCCAAAGTGCTGGGATTACAGGCTGTGCCACCAAGCCCGGCCAATAATAATTTTTAAAAGTCAAAAAAATTAGTATGGCATAGTTATGCATGCCTGTAATTCTAACTACTTGGGAGGCTGAGAAGGGAGGATCCCTTGAGCCCAGGAGTTCAAGGCTGCAGTGAGCTGTGATCATGCCACTACACTCCAACCTGGTTTACAGAGTAAAACACTGACTCAAAAAACAACATAAAAAGTGTTCTATTCATTTTTCTATCCCTGGTACTCTGCGCAGGGGAAATACCAAGTGGATGTTCAGTAAAATACCACCTTCTCGTGCCAACTCGCTCAGCTCCACAGCATGATCCACCTCTCCTTCCAACTGTTCTTCAGCTGCTATGGTGTCCTCTTCATCCTCCGCTAAGAAAGAAAATGGAGAAGGATTAATAAAGGAAGAGGCACAAGACACAGTCAAATGGAAGAGTCCTGAAAAGTTAAGTACAGACAACTAAAGGGGGAAAGGGCAACAGAACAAAAAGAACAGGCCTGACCTTCATCCTCATTAGCAGTAAACTCTTCATCATCTTCATCTGGATGCCAAGGCTGTTTGTTACGCTGTGTGACAGAGGAAGATGGTGGCTTTACCTATATAGCAAAAAATAAAAAGGGGTAGGGCTTATGGTTAGCATGGTAGGAGAAAAGCACAAGTTGAACAAGATGTCACAGAATGGTGTCTGTCCCACTGAGTAACAGCTGCCACTGGTACACAGTTCCAGGGCAAGGATGCAATCAAGGGTTATTCTCTTAGCACCAGCTACCAAATCCTGGCCCCACTGCCTGGGGGAGGACCTGTGAAAGTGCTATATAAAAAGTGAAGGCCCTCTACACCAACTTCATGCACCTAAGACATGGAAAAACAGAACACTTAAGTCCAGAAGAGACTTCAAGGACACCACCATCACAGCTTCCAACCTACATGACAGTAAGGGAATGTGAAAGCCCTTTCACAGAAATGGCAGGCAAGGGCCACAGCAAGTACTTTTTCAATCAGAGAATAATTTGAAAAGCACCCACTCTTCCACCACAGCATCAGAAATTGCCAATCACAGGATACAACTTGCCCCCAAATCAGATTCTTACCCAAGTGAGAGCCTGATTGTCCTTATCTAGGAAGAACTCCCCAAAACCACAACCAACCTCAAAGCCCAGAACCCAGAACCTAAACCTCTCCCTCTGCTCCCACTAGGAACCCTCCCTCCGCCCCTTTTGCCTATACCTGCAACATTTGAGAGGGTGCTTCTTCAGCACCTTCTTCAGGCCCGTCTCTGGTGTCACTATCAGGAGATGAGGGGGTTTGAGAGGGGCTGGAAGGCCCTCCCAGCAGCTGAGGGGGAAGGGAACGGAGCAGCTCTTCCAGTGGCAGTTCTCCCTCGCGACGAAGCAGCTCAATCTCACGCCTGTGGGTCTCCGCATCATTGCCTTCCTGTTGTTCTTCAACCTCAATCGTCTCCTCATCATCCTCTTCCTCCTCCTCTTGGGGCTGGAAGTCCCCATCTATAGCAGGAGAACAAGGTCACAAAGTCCACGGGCCCTGCAAGCCACAGGGTGGGTTTTTCAGCTCTGGAAAGGGTACATGGGGAAGAGTAACAGGGCCAAAGAGAACACATACCTTCCTCATCTAGGCGGGAAGCAGGGGGTGGAGGACTGGAGGCAGCTGAGGAAGAGCCAAGGCAAGGTGAAGAGCCTGCTTTGCTGGAAGCTAATGGCTGGTTGAGGCTCTGAGACAGAAGATCTGAATACTTTTCAGTTTGCCCCACAATGAAGTCCAAGTGCAGGTCCAGGGCTTTTTTGCGCTTTTCCTCAAGCCGGGACTGTTGCTTGAACTGCACCACCTGCCACAGTTGTGAAAGGGACTGCTCACCAAGATAACCATTTATTTATGTATTTTTTTTTTTTTTTTTTTGAGTCAGGGGTCTCACTCTGTCACTCAGGCTGGAGTGCAACGGGACAATCACAGCTACCATAGCCTTGACCTGCTGGGCTTAGGCAATCCTTCTGTCTCAACCTCCCAAGTAGCTGGGACTACAGGTACACCACCATGCCTGTTTAACATTTTGGTTTATTGTAGAGACAAGATCTCACCATGTTGCCCGGGTTGGTCTCGAGCTCCTGGGCTCAGGCAATCCTCTTGTCTTGACCTCCCAAAGTGCTGGCATTTATTATGCATCCTTTCACCTAAGTTTAGGGAGGCCTCCTTTATGTCAGAGAGAAGAGCTAAATACCTTAAGGGGCTCACAATTTAATAAAAGTGGCACAAAGGAAGCATAAGAGGAAAGCCAGCTTATCCTCAGGCAGCTGGGGAAGATGTGTAATCTGCAGCTGGATCTTTTTTTTAAGAGATGGGGTCAGCTGGGTGTGGTGGCTCACAGCTACAAACCCAGCACTTTGGGAGACCAAGGCAAAAGGACTGCTTGAGCCCAGGAGTTGAAGATCAGCCTCGGCAACATAGCAAGATCTCATCTCAACAAAAAATAAAAAAATTAGCCAGTCACGTGGCATGCACCCATAGTCCCAGCTACTCGCAAGGCTGAGGTGATGGTAAGCTGTGATTGTATCACTGTTCCAGACCGAGCAAGAGCGAGACCTCTAACTCAAAAAAAATAAAAAATTTTAAAAATGACCAGGCGCAGTGGCTCATGCCTATAATCCCAGCACTTTGCGATGCTGGGGTGAAAGGATTACCTGAGCCCACGGGTTCAAAACCAACCTGGAATTGGTGAGACCTCATCTCTACAACCAAATCAAAAAATTAGCCAGGCGTGATGGTGTGTGCCTATAGTTCCAGCTACTTGGAAGGCTGAGATAGAATTATCACCTGAGCACAGCAGGTTGAGGCTGCGGTGGCTGTTAGTATGCCACTGCACTCTAGCCTGGGCAACAGTTGAGACGCCAACCCAAAAAACAAAAAAAAGACAAGGAATGAATCCAACACTAGCCCGGGCAACAGAGCAAGATCCCATCTCTATAAAATAAACAAAAAAACAATAAATAAACAGACAAGTAAACAAAAGAGAAATAGTCTCACTATGTTCACTATGTTCCGCAGATTGGCCTTGAATTCCTAGGCTCAAACAATCCTCCCACCTTAGCCTCATAAGCAGCTGAGTCTTTAGGTGAACACCTTCCAGCTAGACCTGAATTTAGAAAAATGGGTGTTTCCTAAGTGCAAATGAGAAGAAGGCATTCCTAATATGAGAAAGAACATGTGCAAATAACCAGAGATGTGCAAAAGAAAGGTATCTTTCAAGTGGAAGGGGGAAGGAAAGGAACTGGCAGGATGTTTAAAACTGAAAATACAGACAAAACCCACATAGTACATGAGAAACAATTACAACTTAGTATGTGGGCAATGGGAACTTTAATGGTACTTAAGCCAGTAAATGGCACAAATACATTTTAGAAAGCATATGCTAAATGCTCTGTAAAAGAAAGATGGCCCAGAAGGGTGAAAAAGTCCTATTTAACAATCCTCGGCCAGGCTTGGTGGCTCAGCCTGTAATCCCAGTACTCTGGGAAGCTGAGGTGAGTGGACTGCCTGAGCCCATGGGTTCAAGACCAGCCTGGGCAACTTGGTGAGCCCTCATTTCTACAATAAATTAAAAAAATAAATCAGCTGGGCTTGGTGGCGTGTGCCTGTAGTTCCAGCTACTTTGAAGGCTGAGGCAGAAGGATCGCCTGAGCCCAGCAGGTTGAGGCTGCAGTGGTGGTGAGTTTACCACTGCACTCCAGCCTGGGTGACAGAGTAACATACTAACTCAAAAAAGCAAATAAGTAAATAAAATAAATATATATATAGCCAATATCCTCTTATATTAGCTCTTTTCTTCACTGAACTCCCACACCACCTTGTTTAAATTTCCTTCATAGCATGCATCACTTTCAGCTTATTATTCATTTATAAGTCTGTCATTGTCATTAGGCCTGAAATTCCTCAAAAAAACCAAAAACGCAGCTGGGCATCATGGTGCACACATGTAGTCCCAGGTATTTGGGAGGCTGAGGCAAAAGGATCACTGGAGCCCAGGAAGCCAATGCTATAGTGAGCCGTGATAGTGCCACCACACTCCTGCCTGGATAACAGAAACCTCAAAATTCAACAAGAAAACCTCCAAAGACAGGGCCTATATTTTGCTACTATTCTTTCTTCCCCACAGCAGATGATTCTAGAAAGGTCCAACGCACAATATGGTTTTGAGTTGGAATCTCACTCTTGTCAGCCAGGTTAGAGTGCAGTGGCACGATCATGGCAACTGCAGCCTCCACCTGCTGGGTTCAGACAATCCTTCTGCCTCAGCCTTCCAAGTAGCTGTAACTACAAATGCATGCCACCACACCTGGCAAATTATTTTATGTACTGTAGAGCCCCCCGGGCTCAAGCAAACCTCTTGCCTTAACCTCCCAAAGTGTTGAGATTACAAACTGAGCCACAGTGCCTGATTGTTTTGTTTTTTTATTTTGAGTTGGAGTCTCACTCTGTCATCCAGGCTGGAGTGCAGGTGGCACACTCATGGTCACCACAGCCTCAACCTGCTGGGCTCAGGTGATCCTTCCACCCCAGCCTTCCAAGCAGATGAAACCACAGGCACGTGCCACCACACCCAGCAAATTATTTTATGTACTGTAGAGACGAGGTCTCATTAAGTTTCCCAGGTTGGTCTCAAACCCCTGGACTCAGGCAATCCTCTTACCTCTACCTCCCAAATTGCTGGGATTACAGGCGTGAGTCACAGCGCCTGGCATCCAATATGTTATTAATCATAGTTGCTTGAAATTATAATATTCACTCCCTCAAAGAAAAGTTTTGAGAATTCCTACTACCATGGCATACACCAGTCTAAGCCAAGGCCACTTTCCATTCCCAATCCCCACTGCATATACCTTCTCCACATTGCTCCAGAACTGCCTGACATCCTTGGCCATGGTGGAAGCGATTCGGCGCAGCTTGGCCTGCTCCTCCCTCCGGGCCCGTTCCTCCTTTTGCCGCTGCTCCTCGTGGTGTCGGATCACCATGCGCACCACCTGTGAGAATGAAAACCCAGGGTGAAAACATTCAAAGCCATACCTCCCTATCCATCCAATCAAAGGCAAAGAAAATAATCAAAGCCAAGAAATCTGGGAAGTCAGAGTTTGCCTCTTAACCCCTACATCATTCTGTTCAGTTCCCTTCCCACTAATCCACCCATCAAGGAAATGGAAGGCAAACTCAGTTGAGGACATACCTTACGGGCCACTCCCCGTTTCCAACGGCGCTCCTGAGCAAAGTCAGCAGAGAGCCACTGCATTTCTTCACACAGATAGTCCCAGTGGCCTTTGGGGCGGGGAGGCTCTGGCACCTTAGGCAGCCTCTTCAGTGACCAGAAACCCTCCTTCCGCAGCTCAGCAATCCTAGTCTCAATGTCGGCCTCCTAATGAGGAAGAGTTAAGTCAATCAACAGTTCCCAGACACATACTCCATCTCACTGCCAAGGCTGAATACTTGAGTACTGACTGGGCTGAGTGTTTCATGTTTGTGTTTAGTTCACATGTCACATCTACAAGTACGTATCATACTCTCTTCAGGAGAGAGAAAAAGGATCAGGGGATTAAGTGATTTGCCCAAGATCAGACAGCTAATAAGTAATAGGAACTAGGAATCAAAAACAGGTCTGAGGACTCCAGTTACCAAATTTCATGTTCTTTCCATTACTTCACACAATCTCCACACCCCATGAAAACATGCAAGACTTGGGAAAACCTACTTCGAGGGAAGTTTCCAGAGAAGCAGGGAACACATGCTTCCTTCCTGACTATAGACAAGAGGGGTGGTCACCACTGCAGAATTCTATTTATTGAGCGTGTATGAGCACAATGTTATTAAGCTTAAAAATATGCCATAAAGCCCAATTTACACAACCTGTTTTAAGAAACAGCATTGTTGCAAAAATGTATTTTTATTCTGAGTTGAAGTCTCACTCTGTCGCAGGCTGGAGTGCAGCGACATGCTTATGGTCACCCCAGTGTCGACCGGCTGGGCTCAGGCAATCCTTCTGTCTCAGCCTTCCAAGTAGCCAGAACCATGGGTGCACGCTACCATGCCCGGCTAATTTTTTGATTTATTGTAGAGATGAGATCTCACAAAGCTGCCCGGGCTGTTCTCAAACCCATGGGCTCAGGCAATCCCCTCACCTCAGCCTACCAAAGTGCTGGGATTACAGGCTTGAACCACCACATCTGGCCACAAAAATGTATTTTTTTATTAAAAAAAAAAAATGCTGAGAGGTGGGAAGAGGAGAGGATGTGAGGGGGAAAAAAAGAAAAAAAAAAAAGCTGAAAAGTTATACATGAAAAGTTTAATAACCAGGCATAGTGGCTCACACATAATCCCAGGACTCCCGGAGGTCATGGCGAGAGGATTATCTGAGCCCAGTGGTTCCAGACCAGCATGGGCAACTTGGCAAGACCTCGTCTCTACAGTAAATTTTTAAAAATTATCCAGATGTGGGAGTGCATGCCTATAGTCCAAGCAACTCAGGAAGCTGATGCAAAAGGATAGCCTGAGCCCAGTAGGTCGAGGCTGCAGTAACCATGAGCGTGCCACTGCCCTCCAGCCTGGGCAACAGAGCAAGACTCTGACTTAAAACACAAATAAATAAAAATAAAATGGTTACTTAAAAAAAAAAAAGCCAGCCAGGCTCAGTGGCTCAGCCTGTAATCCCGCGCCTTTGGGAGGCTGAGGTGGAAGAATCGCCGGAGCCCAGCAGGTCAAGGCTGCGGTGGCTGGGAGCATGCCACTGCACTCCAGTCTGGGCAACTGAGTGAGACTCAACTCAAAATAAATAAATAAATATCCATAGAAAGTGGGAATTCAGAAAAGATGACTCCCAAGAATCCTCACAGACCTTCCCAATACGTACATGCTTGGCCTGTTCAGCAATTTCAGCATGGCTCTTCTCCCACTTTGGGCCCCTGTTAGCCAAGTCAGCAGCCTGGGGTAAGCTGAGCCCCTCCAGGGGCACTGTGGCACCATCTGGGGGGCCTGGAGGTCCATCCAGAGAAGAATCTTGAGCTATGTGCTGGGGGGAGATGCCGCCTGCCCCACTAGAGGCTTGGGAACTGGATGAGGCAGGGGACACAGGATTACTGCCTGTCATGCCGTCCGACACCATCTACAAAAGGTGAAAATTATGGATAAAACAAATGCTTAGCACCGTACTAAGTGCTTTAAATACATTATTTCACTCCATCTTCACAAGAAAAATCCCTGGAGAATAAGATATCAATTTCAGTCGGGCTCGGTGGCTCAGCCGGCAATCCCACACTTGAGAGGCTGAGGTGAGTAGATTGCCTGAGCCCACAGGTTCGAGACCTGCCTAGGCAACTTGGCGAGACCTCATCTCTACAATGAATCAAAAAGGTTAGCTGGGTGTGGTTGCGCGCGCCTGTAGTTCCAGCTACTTGGAAGGCTGAGGTGGAAGGATCGCCGGAGCCCAGCAGATAGAGGCTGCGGTAGCCGGGAGCGGACACTACACTCTAGTCTGGGTGACAGAGTGAGACTCCAACTCAAAAAAAAAAGTTATCAATTTCATTTTTATAAACACAAATATTTGGGATGAAGTTTTAATACGTAACTCAAGATGGCAGAAGCAAATTTATAGTAGATGCTTAGGGTGCAAGAGTTATGCCCTAACATTTATATGGTTCCCAAGTTTTCTTTTCTTTTTTTTTTTTTTGAGTTGGAATCTCACTCTGTCACCCAGGCTGGCGGGCAGTGGCACGCTCACAGCTACCACAGCCTTGATCTGCTGGGCTCAGGTGATCCTCCCACCTCAGCCTTCCAAGTAGCTGGAACTACAGGCACGCCACACCATGCCTGGCTAATTTTTTTATTTATTGTAGAGATGAGGTCTCGCCAAGTTGCCTAGGCTGGTCTCGAACCCATGGGCTCAGGCAATTCTCTCATCCTCTCACCTAGGCCTCCCAAAGTGCTGGGAATATAGGTGTGAGCCACTGCGTCTGGCCTCTTTTTGTTTTTTCAGTATTTTTTTTTTTGAAAGCAGAATTTATTGAGAGGACAGAAAACTTACACAGCAGGAGAGGACCGGAAGGGGTTGCCCAGCCTTTTTTTTTTTTTTTTTTTTTTTTTTTTTT